TAAGCCATCGAACGCACGTTTGAACCTGCGAAGCATGCGTTTACGGCGAAACTGTTAGGATAAAACACGCCTTGACCCACTTGACTCGCTTGATCCACTTCACTACTGGTCAAGTAAACTCGCTATTGGACAGTTCACCGATTTGACCGATAGCGAAGTGGATCAGATGGATCAATTGGATCAAGGATGGGCGCATTTTAGGCACGACTAATGCGCCGCGCGACCCACAATGATGACCAGATAGTGCACCAAAAGCACTTGTTTTGAAAATGAGTAATAGAACAACTCTACTTCCTATTTTTTTCTCAAAATTTCAGCTTAAATAATTGAAAAAAATTTACGTTTGGTTTGTTGGCGCAGTTCCCTCTCATGAAAATTCTGCAGCAAAACCCCTCTTCAAAATGATTTCGCATTTTCCATTGGAGATGGTTTTGCCCAGCAAATGCAGAGAAATATAAACTGCTAACAAGCATAAACGTACCTTCGCTAGGCGTGCTCGTTTAATGAGGTCGTTAAGTTTACGAAGAGCTGCATTACGTGGCAGCGCTTGGAGGTCTTGGAACAAATCATGCTGTTCATCTTGGAACAAGCGTCTGTAATCAAAAAAAAACTAGAAGAAAAACTTTTTGAATACTGGGAAAAACTGAAATGTTGAGACTTATACACCTGGAAATATTCAAGACCGATACTAACCTGTTGATATCATAGTGAAGTGGATGATCCCAGAAGGTTCCGATATAGACTCGTGAAACTTCAGGAGTCTTGAAAACTTTTCCTAGAGACCACATTAAGGCACCGTATACACGCATCAACTGCTGATGATCGACCATGTCCGATTTATTGAGAACAATGCGGATCTTATCTTCATTTCCTGAACGAGGTGGATCATTTTTAACAGTACATCCTGATGAGAAATTATCAAGCGGTAAATATCCTGATTCAAACTACCATGTGGTATATAATAGTTTTTTTTTCTTTTCTTGAACAAATTCACGACAGCGCCGATTTTTCGATGACTGCCATTTCGG